CGGGCAAGCCCGGTTGAGATCGGTATAGTCAACACACATTCTCCATTTTCCATTATTCTTTTTCACAAGTACAACATTTGACAGCCAGGTGGAATACCGGGCTTCAGAAATAAAATTTGCCTCTAGGAGGTCTTTTACAGCTTTTTCAGCAGCCTCCGTTTTTTTTGGAGACTGCCTACGCCTACGTTGTACTACGGCCTTGGCGGCTGGATCAATGGCGAGGTGGTGACAGGCGACCTCAGGGTCGAGTCTGGGCATCTCTGCAGCGCTCCAGGCGAAGAGATCAGCATTCTCGCGCAAACAGGCCTTGATTTGCTTCCTGGCCAAGTCGGGGAGGTCTTTACCAATCTTCACTCCCTTGGTCGGGTCTGTGCCGAGGGGAACGAGTTCAAAATCCCCGTCCGGAATAGGTCGGAGTGGGATTTGCTCGCTGCTGGATGGCTCGTCCTGGTCGAAGCGAGCGTCGAGGGCTATGGAGTCGACCTTTGGTGGGGCCTTCTGGACTTCTTCCTCGGGGGATACTTTCCTGTCGGGCTCCTGTTTTGTCCTTTTGGCGGGTCTGGTCCCTACGTCGACGATATCCCGTCCCTTTGAAGCAGCGTTGAAGCACCTGCGAGCAGCGGCGAGGTCTCCTTGGATGGTGGCTACCCGTGCCCTTTTGGTGTAGAACTTCATTTTCAGATGGACAGTCGAGGGCACCGCTGTCAGCTCCGCAAGTGTCGGTCTCCCCAAGATGCAATTGTACAGAGATGGGCAATCAATGACGAGGAAGCGGACCTTGACCTGTCGTGTTGCCGTTCCTTCGCCGAATGTGACCAGGAGCTCGACATAACCCCAGGGTTTGGAAGTCGAGCCGTTGAAGCCTTGAAGATCCGAACTCACATACGGAGAGAGATGTGAGTCGTCCAGTTGTAAGGTCCGGAACAGCTGGTTGTACATCACGTCGACGGAACTCCCTTCGTCGACCAAGATGCGATGCACGTCAAAATTGGCCATTTTTGCCCTTATCAGTAAGGGGATGACCGCGTTCGGGGCTCCGCCGGGGAGTTCTTCCAGTTAGAAGGTGATGGGCTCTGACCTGCCTTTCACCCTTTCGAACGTTACAGTTTGTGGAGGAGCTATGTCGACCAGCTCGTCCAACTTCCTCTTTGCCGAATTGATGGTGAGGTCGTTGAACCCGCCCCCGTTGATGACCATGGCGGAGGGGAAATATTCCCACCTGTTGTGTGTTGTCAGGGGCTCCTGCAGGAGCTCGGGAACGTCGAAATCCTCGGGCCTGGTTACCGAGAAGGCGGTCTGGATAGGCACCGACTCGTCTAATGGTCGGGCGTCTTCTTCGGGCTCCTTGGCTTCATGGGCGTCACGACGGGGAGCGTCGTTTCGCCTGTACTGTGCGAGCCTTCCCCCCTTGATGAGGGTTTCAATGGCGTCCTTGAGGTGGACGCAGTCCTTCGTCAAATGACCATGACTCCTATGGTATTGACAGTATTTATTTTTATCTGCCTCTGGCTTGGCGGGAGCAGGTCGGGGACGCTTGACGCCACCGTCTCTGAAATCTATACTGGCACACTCCGCCAAAATACGCTCGCGGGAAGCTGTGAGCGGAGTGTACTCGGTGAAACGGCCCGAGGGGCCCCTTTGTTCCCGGGCCTCCCGGGGTCGGTCTTCTTTCCTCTTCTCCCCGGTACGTCGGGGAGGAGGCTCTTGTCGTGAGCTGCTGCTATTGTTGGGAGCGCGAGCCCTGGAGTCTCGGGCCCTGTTGGCAGCTTCCCTCTCCTCGTAGTCCATGTATGCTCGGGCCTTGTCGAGGAGGGCATCAAAAGTTGGAGGTGGCTCAATACCCACAGCCTTTCTGAATTCTGTGCCGGGGAGGAGACCCCTCTCCAGCAAGTATCTTTTCATATGGTCCGCGCAGGGGACCTGTATTGCTTCCCGGTTGAAGCGGTTGATGAATTCCCTCAAGGTTTCATCCTGTCTTTGGATGATGGCCTCGAGGGCCGCCTCGGTCTTCGGATGGCGCCGAGAAGCTGTGAAGGAACTGATGAACTGGTTTTTCAGGTTCCGCCACGACGTAATTGAGCCCGGGGCGAGTCCTTTATACCAGTCCATGGCCGCCTTCCTGAGAGTCGTGGGGAAAAGACGACACTTGATGGGCCCCCCGACATTATGATAGTGGAGCATGGCTTCGAACTCGTCAATGTGGTCGACTGGGTCCGCTACTCCGTCATACTCCTTCAGGCGCGGGGGCTTCTCCATGCCCGGGGGGATGGGTGCATCCATGATGGCCTGCGACAGGGGACCGCGGGGGTCGTCCTCGTCGCTCCTCTCCGGAGAAAGAGAAGGGGTCCTGTAGTTATGTCTGGCACGATGATCGTGCTGAGTTTCCCTCGAGCGTGATGCTCGGTGGTTGAAGGTCACACGCCCGTCCCCGGCGTGCCTCTTGTCGTGCCTTGATGGGTCGCGACTGGGTTCTCCGGCAGTGACGGCGGGCTGCCTCTCATAGTAGGGCCGCCTCTGCTTTGGCCGGGGAGAGGGGCTCCTGGAGTTTTCCCTGTAGTGTCTTCGCGGGGGAGAAGGGTGTCGAACTTCTGTGACCCGAGGAGGTGGAGAGTGTGGCCTCCGATGCCTCCTCGGGGGTCGTCGATCATCTTCAAGTGCCCTTAATCTTTCTCCTTGGGCGAAGATGAGATAGTTCGTCTGATTAATGGCCGCGAACAGTGCCTGAGTCGTGGCATCTGCCCCGGCGGGAACTGGGACTTCATAGAACCGGGCAGCTCTGTAATGAGCGAGAGCTACCGGGTCGTCTTCGAGTGCTGGAGGGGTCGAAGAGGATGATGCAGTAGCCCCGTCCCTGTAGGAGGAAGGTCCAGGGGCGGTTGTCACAGGGATGGTACTGAGGTCGGGATCACCGGGGTTATCGAGGTGTCCATTCTTGTCCGCGGTACCGTTATTAGTGTCGGCGACACGGACGGGCTGCTCGTCGCGAGCTGGATCAGCCATGACAGGTAGTTGAATTGAGCTTTGGTCTTTAGAATTGTTCGTTAGACGGGGAAGCTAGTTCCCACAAACGGCGCCACTGATCTGACCTGATCAGAAATGGACCGTCACGGCTGGCTCCGAGCAGAAAGCTTTTTGAACGAAGTGGGGGGGGTACCTGCAAGGCACTCCGATGCTGAAGTAAGTAGGAGTACGAGCAGATAATAGCAAGTGTAAGGTTAGAATGATGAATACCTGACCCTCTGGAAGCAGAGGGTATTTATAGCCCCCAGCGCTGGGCCAAGGTTCCTTCATTGGGCCGGGCAGGTTTGGCCCAATGGAGGAACTGCCAGGTTCTACGTGCGTAGTGGGGACCCGCACGTGGTCCCCTTCCTGGATGTTCTGCGTGAAGTGCGGGCGGACGGAGACGCGGTCTTTCCGGGGTATCGTTGGGGAACAGTGGACTGAGTCTGCCCTAGCTGGGGTGCTCGAGGTAACGTCGAGCTGGACCTCAGAATGTGGTGCTGGACCACCTCATGTCGAGCTGGAGGTGTATCGTCGAGCCAGTGACTGCGCGTCGGGCACGGTCTCACTCTTTGGTCGGCGTGGCCCTTGTAAGTCCATTTGAACTGGGCCTTTGCAATGCTTTTGGACCTGTCGGGCCCAGTCCAGAACAGTATATATAAACAAAATAATGTATATTTGATGTAAATTAATACACAAGTAAAGCAAGTGTCCTAATAGTTAAGCAGTGCTCTATATTTTGAAATTTTGATTTTAACCATTACATACGATCAATAAAATAATAATAACATAGTCATATTAATTTTAAAAAATTAATAAATAATTAAAAAAAGTCATCTAAACTTTCACATCAATAAAAAAATATTTAAAAAATAATATTTATTGTCACGTCATAGATTCCAAATCTTTCTTTTACATGAGTGTTTTTCAAATCTCGGTCGTTTTTCAAATCTCGGTCATATAGCTGAAGACAAAATACCTATTAATCCATTGATTTATAAAATACATTATTGTTAAAAAAAATTATGAAATACATTACCAACGTTCATCAATTTTCTAACGATTAGAAGTTGTTTTGGGTGAAAAACCAATACGAAAAAATCCACACACGTATGATTTTAACCAAAATTAAAGGAAAAAGAGAGTATGGTAAACTCATCTAATGATGAACTAGTTGGGCCTGAATAGGTTAATTAATAGATGCATGCCAACAACTTGTCATTTAAACCAATTAACAAATATTAGTTGAACTTCGGACAATTTTTTTTAAAGATTTAATACAAAATGTCTTACACTATATGGACAAAGATACAACTTTCTTTTAACAAGACATTTTTGAAATTATCAATTATCCAGAATAAACCACTTAAAATTTGATCAGATTTGTTCAGGTTTGAATCAAGCAAAAAAACCCAACCCAAACATTTTGGTTAGAGTGAGCCATTGGTTGATGAGCCATACTTAAAAACACCACTATGCAAGAATGTCAGCTAGTCCTTTGTGTCTTCAGTAGTTATACTCTCATTAGCCGGAACTTTATTTTACCAATTTTCCTAACATATCTATATCCAATGTATTATATTGCTGTGCTCCTCAGATCAAGTAGGAAGTAAAGTGACTCATCAACTATTGTAACTATTGGCGTCATATTGTATCTCAATAGTTATCATAAGGTTTCCGGGAAATCCGGAACTTTACAAAATCAAGAATTTTGCATACAACTTATGCAACAAGTTTTGTTTATTAGAAACTCCCAACATGCACTAACATGTAACAATGACAGAGGCCACAAAAAAGTAACAGAGGCTTAACACATTCAATGTTCCAGGAGCCAACTGGTTCAGAAGCAATTAAATATCTTCGACATCATCACTCAGTCGGTATCAACTATTCAAATTATATCACATACAAATAAATGAAGGTGATTTAATCCACAATCTAGTAATACAGAACAATTTGATTGCAAATTTTTATTTATTGCAAGGGGTGAAAAAAAAGCTTCAGTTGTTGTCTTCACGGCCATAATCATAAATTATCTCAATCTGCACCAAGAACATAATAACAAATCCAGTCAGAAAGAGCACATCCCAGGGCAACACATATTGGAATAAATATAATGTTACAAGAAACAGAAGAAAACCCCAACCAGGAGCATGACAAAAGCCGGCATACAAGGGTAAACATGATAAAAACCGGCATACAACAAGGACAACGGCCATACTCACAAATGGTGAATGGAACTCCTATTATTTTCTATATCCATCAGCTGTTATGATATTTTATGAATATATCCTATCTGATCAATAGTGGAAAACATCACATGACCTTATTATTGATCTATAGTGCAAGACCATGAAATTTGGTACACAAGGAGGGTGATATATGAGTTTATAAAAGGGGCTACGAGTGTGTGATAAAAGTCTAGCAAATAGCAATAGGAACTTGGCACACAAGTGAAGTAAATTTCTGTAAGAAACAATTCTTATCTAAGAAAAGGGTGATTTTGATATGGTGATTGTAAGCGTGATAAAGTGTTTGGCAGACCAATAAAAAATTATTGATGCCACACTTCTCAAGTAGAAGGCCCGTGATATTACTTTTCCTCATGAAATGAAACAGTGACCCAAATGAGGTCGGTTCCATAAAAAACAAATAACAAATACAAACATTAGTGCTCAAAACTCAACTTATGTTTGCTTTCTTTGGTTTTTGTCAAATCAACGCCCATCAATCACTGTCTCTGCAGTAAGGACATGGGGGACTGGGAACATTTTACTTCAAGGTCGACATTAGACATTATCGAATTTTTGGGCAACTTCCAAGCAACAGTCCACCATAGACCACATGAGATACTTCCCCACCCTATAACTGCCTTGTGTTATTCATAAGAAAGTAGAAGAAAATACATAAAGAACAAATTCTCCAAGCCAAAGTCAACTCCCATTGGCCCAGGCTATAAGCCTAAACTGAAACTCCCCGATCCACCATTTATAACCAATATGTTTTCTCTTACCAGGCCCCTAAGCCAATTTAATGAACCCATCAATACCAGCCGCATGAAAAGCTGCATGGTCCTCTAGAAAGAAGGAAGACAACTTATCACAGAAGTTTGACTTCCTCTTCCCTAGCTGCTTCCTAGACAGTAGTAGCCAATCAGCAGTCAGTTTTAATGATGGCGGATGGCACAAAGCAAAAAAATTCAACAATTTAAGCCGCCATAAAACGCCCTGGCACTGCCATCCTTCACAACCTGGCCATGACGGTCGTAAAAAAATTCGCCGTGGCCGATATTTGATAACACTGTTAGCAATAGGTTTATTTGTTGGCTGCTGGTCGTCTACATTTCCCGTTGTTAATGTTACAAGGTCAGGTATTTTAATAGCTGGAGTTTACCTCCCTTGCCATGTCGAGGTATTCGTAAAACCTGCTGCATGGTAGTAGTGTGGTGCTTATTAACCATGCAAATCATTAGCAATAGGTTAATTTGCTGACTGCTTGTCGTCAAAATTCCTTGTTAATATTACAGGGCCAGGTATTTTAATAGCCGGAGTTTACCTCCCTTGCCATGTCCAGGTATTTGTAAAACCTGCTGCATGGCAGTAGAATGGTGCTTATTAACCGTGCAAATCCCCTTGAGAGTGACAGTACAGGCATCTTGACTGAAGCTCCTGGACTTGTTGTTCCAATCTATCTTGGTTTTCCCTAAGGTCCCTCAGATGATCATCAAGTACCCAAATTCAACACACAAACATCCACCGAAGATTGCATGTACCTTGAGATTGGCTTCCATCAATCCTATAAAAGACCATTCCCTTGCTTGTTTATTTTCTCGAGGCATCCTTGGAGCAAAATAGTAGGTCATCCAAGTTTAAATGTGAGCTTGAGTCAACCTAATTCACTAGTGGACTGCATTAATGCCTCAAATTTCCAATGTTATTTTGAATCAACTCATTTAACAGTTGGCCAAAGCGAGTTCAAGCAGGGTTGATACAGGTTGCCTCACAGTACAATGCATGGTGGGTCATTCAGGGTTGGTTCATTCTGATACTTAGATTGTCATTCAGTGAGCATTAGAATTCTGCTTTTGTTCAAAGGGACCTAAATCAACTTGACTCTGCTATTCCTATCCATGGAATAGTGAGATGGGTCAGCAACTCCACATGTCTGTGTTGCTGTTCAAATGTCTCACACATCGGCGTGCTGTGCAGGTCTGAGAAGGCCTTAGTGATGCCAGCAACAATTGCTATTCAGGAGCTAAGTTTGGTCGAATGAACATTCAACCGACTGAACTAATGCACTAGAGCATCAATTCGATGTGAAGCCAGTTGGGTTTGCATACACTAAAGTCTTCCTCTCCTAACATCTCAACAAAAGCGGAAGCTATTTCACGCGTTCAGTGTGATGGGGGCAACTGTCACCACAAACAGTTTTTTTTTTAAATTAAGTATACTGAATAGGTGTGTACTGCCTTTATAAGACAATTTTTCGATAAGCAGTTTCATTTTGGACCGGTCTGTCTGGGTGTGTCATGTGAACACCCTATGTAAAATTGGTAAGAAAGAAGAAGAAACTATTGGAAGTAAGAGCAATTAAGTAAAATCCATGGCCCCTAGCCATAGATTGAAACTGAAGTGCAAACACACAACCACTCCACAACCCACTTTAGTTTACAAGTTAGGCTCTCCCCCATATAAGATCCCATCCTACAACTAAGAACCCTATCAATTTCATAACCTTCTTCATCTTCATTATACAATTATTATGACAACCTGGCACCTTAGTTGGACTATTGCAAACATTCCATTGCTAGTTCAAAAATTAAAATTGATTATTTACCTATCAACTTATTGGGATCACTGAGAGAAAAATTATGAAGGGAATGATTGTGCTAACTTCTAATATCATCAAATGCATGTTTTGTGTATAACTTCAGAGGGGAATTGGAGCAAACTTATTCACTCCTGACTATATTGAAAATTAGGTTAGTCACTTAACTTAATAGCGACAGAAAAGCTCAATACATTAGACAAAGAGATTTAAAAGCACACATGAACAAACAGAGGTTTCAACCATCTTATGTGATACTCTTAATGACGGCGTAATTAGATGAGATATCAACAGAATGCTCTTGGCAAGAAAAACTTGCCGAGCTATATGAACATGTTAACATCTTGCATAGGGCTCTGTATATCTATCTCATAGAATGAACTTATCCCCTCACAAACAAACACATTTTCATGTATATGTATTTATATAAGTGTGAAATAAGTGGGGCAAATAAAAAAAGATAAACTAAGTATATAACCGTAATGACTTACCCCTTCAGGTGGAGGTGGGTTGCGAGTAAACTTGGAACCACCAGGTGCCCATGGAACTATTAAACAGAAGAAATAAGAATAAAAAAAGGTAGAGTGAGAAATGCATTAAATGAGAAAAATCAACCTCTAAGACTAGAAAAACTAAAAATTGGCAATACATTGTCGTTATAATTGTGCCTACATGCCCAAAGGCGGATTGCAGCAACCCCTAAGACTAGAAAAAATAATACAAAAATAATATAAAAATATCTGAAAAAGAAAAACAGAAAACAGTATTAATCGAGAGATTAATCTTCACCGGGTGTGTAATTTTCTTACCAATATAAGGATCAGGATGGCGCCATTTGTTGTAGCTAGCTTCAGCATCCACTATTAACCTATCAATGGTATCAGGATCTTCCTGTAAATCAAACCAAGCACAACACAACAGTCCAAATCAGATTTGCTATAGAAAACGGAACATTCCAATCACAACACAGTTCCAAAAATTAGGGCAAAATGCAATTGCAAGATCGGATGATCTCAAGTAGTAAAATTGAAAGAGATGAAGGAAACTCACCACGTGCTTGTTTTGCTCGAACCGATCGCGGAGGTTCGCAGCCTGAAAACGGAAGAAAAGGAAACGAATCAGAGAAAATAGGTCAATTAAAATTGGGGAATGAGTAAGGAGAGTGAAGATGAATACGTCGTCGTAAAATAGGTGGCGATGTACGGCCCAGTTGAGAGTGTCTTTAAGGGCGCGGCGGTATAGAGTCCGAACCTTCTCCCTCTGCGCCGCGCGCCGAGCAACGTACGCTGCCGATGTTAAGCTCATTTCTCGATTTCTTTTCAATCTCTTCTCTTTCTTCTTTTTTCACTTCCACTTTGTAACAATAACCAGAGAGAGAGATTGGAGAACCAGGTACTATGCTACACGGCGTCGTATTGTTTTTGGGCTTCTGGGCTGCTTTTTCTTGCTTGCTCGATTTTAGATTCTTGAACCTAACACCCCCCATATAACCAATAATTTGAGCATAATACCCATATATTATAAAAACTAATTTTTCACAATTAAAATTACATATTTTTTATATATTTTTTTAAAATAAAACGTTTACGTTTTGCCTCAGATTTGCTGAAAAATACCGGATTTTTACAAATAGCGTTTTTCCTTCAACTTATAGTATGTGTTTTTATCGAATTTTTTTGCTATTATACCACATATTTTACCACGTAAACCATGCATTTTTATTAGTTTTTTGAAATAATCAGTATGAAGTTTATGGAATTATATCGAATTTTCAAGAATATTTAGAATAAACCAATTTTTTGGATGCATTTTTACCCAAATTTTTAAAAATAAATATACTATGAAATTTTATCGAATTTTTATAAATTTTTTATAAAATTGAATGCTGCATATCAGATTTTTATAAATTGCCAAAAATTGCATCATGCATACTAGATTTTTTTTTAAATGCAGATAAGATTAGAATTTTAGTTATCGGATTTTTTAAAAACTTAGTATACATAGGAGTGCGGCTGGATTTTTTTAAAATCTGATAGGCTAATAGGATTTTTTAATTTCGTTGGTCTTTGTTTTTTTGTTTTTAGTGAAGAGAAGGGGGAAGAGATGGAAAAATTATACTTAGATTGAACGAAAGACCTATGACATAGAGTTCTCCATTGGTGGAGGAGACGAAGATGATGGAGACAATCATCTATAGACTAGGGTGGATACAGTACACTACTACGAAAAACACATTTTATCAAGCAATATTACAACGACTTTTCTTTAACTGTGGTGGAAACACGATTTTGGGCGTGTGTTTTTTTACTAAAAGGTATTTCATTACGATCTATGTTAATGTCTGTAGTGATATGTACCAGGAGTTACAGGGTTCGAATCTCAATTCCTTCATTTTATCAGCTCCTTGTATATCATTACAGTTATTCTTTTCAACCGTGGTGTTAAGTCCAATCATTGCATCATGATTCTTCTTGCCAACCGTGATGAAAAGTAGGGGTGTTCGCGGTTCGGTTTGGATCGGTTTTAAAGGAAAAACTCATCTGATCCAAAGATAAATTCACTTGTGGTTTGGTTCGGTTTTGAATGATATATTAAAAAAATTCAATTCGATCCGATCCAATTTTATGGGGTTTAATTTGGATCGGTTTTTGGATATTCAAATTACATATTATATTTTTATTAATATTATGAAACTATTAATAAATTATAGATTTGATATAATATATAACATATTAAAAGTTAATATTACAAAATGAGAGTGATCGATTATGGTTGAAATAATAAAAATAAATAGATTATACCAAATTAATAAATATTATTAAAAAAATTATTATCATCTAATAATAAATTCACATAATATATCATATACTAACAAAAAGTAAATAAGTATAAAAATATATGTATGCGGTTCGGTTTGGATCGATTTTGAAAAATTCATCCGAAATCCAATCTGAATTGATCGGTTTTCATAAAATAACATCTAAACACATCCAATAAATTTTGGTTTTTATAGTTTTCGGTTTTTTGGATCAGTTTTCGATTTTTTATTTGGATTAGTTTGGATTTGAACACCCTTAATGAAAAGTGGTATTTTTTTAATATATAAGCGAAAGTATATGTCGCACAGTATATAATAGTTGTTTCTCTCTAAATAAAATCCTAACATACTTCACTATTCTCTCTCAACACATAACCCTAACATCCATGTCACTTTTCACCTATACTACAACCTTCAGATTCGTCTTCACCAATCGCTACCTTGAGGTTCGCTCATTAAACTTATGCTTCCGTTTATATTTCTTGTTAAAAATTGGTTCTCATTTTTTTTATTTTGTGAATATTCTCATTTTTTTAGATTCGTCTTCACCACCTTAACAAAGCGCATAATTTGGCTATGATACATATGGTTTGTGTGTGGCTATGAAAAAAAATATAAGTGTGAAGCTATTGTTTTGTAAACTTCATTCTATTTCTTTTTCATAGCTTCATAAACTAGACGAACTTCATAATTTGTTCTAGTTTCACGATTAGTTTCAATAAAAAGTATTTTCTTGAAACATTTTATTATATCTTGTGTTGTTGTATGTTATTAGTGTTTTGTCGCTAAAAGGTTTTTTTTTTAAATTTTGTTGCTTGTATTTGTTGTGTTGTTGTTGTTGATAAATATTCTCAGAACAAGAATAAAACATTGTTAAGTCACAAGAAATAGGTTTCTTGTGAGTTAGCAATGTTTTGTTCTTTAAATTCTTATGTAGATTGACAATAAATGAAGTTAAATTGTTTATTATATTCTATGTAGATTTTTTTGTTTCACTAACATTTCACTGAAAATACATTCATTTAAATTGACATAGAAACTTATAATCTGAAAAATTAAATTGTATTTGAAAACCAACTTATATCAATCAATATTTTACGAATTGCATGTGTCTCATCATTCATTTCATGCTCTTTAACATATAGAATATAGTTCAATGACCTGATTCCTTCACTACATCGATATATTTTCTTATAGTTTAATTTGAATAAATTGATGTTATTCAAATTAAACTAGAATTAAAGGAATCGATGCCATGAAGGACTTAGACCATTGAACCACATTCTATATGTTAAAGAGCGGGAAATGAATGACCAGACGCATCCAATTCAGAAAACAATGGTTTGTTTAAGTTGGTTTTCAAGAATAGTTTAATTTTCATATTATCTACTTCATCAATTTGAATGGTTATATTAATTTAGTGAGGTGTATGGAAAAACAAGTAATCTACATATTATAAAATAAACTATGGGTACTTTCCACAACAATCATCTAATATAACTATGATGAAATGTTATTTATTTTTTAAATAAACTGATGTTGATGAGTTTTGAATCGATTACTTAAATGTATATATCACAATGGTTGGTTAGTGTAACCATTGTGATATATAGTGTGCGTCATGACTTATTATCATTGTCTCAAGACTGTGGTGGAAAGCACTAAACATACAATCACCCCTTACCTCATAATGGTTGATCAGTCGTTGTGGTATCCCTTTTCTAACCATTATGGTATGACTTTTTCATAGTAGTAGTAGTTCTCATCACAGGAGGATCAGACATTCTCATGGATCACGTACTCTCTAATGTAAAGTGTAACACCATAAAACCCAAAAAATATTATTTAAATAAAAACATATAAATTTCATATTCAAACAGCAAAGATGTTACAAATTTCTCTCAAGTAAACATGCTCCTGAAAAAAACTTATAACAACACAGTGGAAATTCAAGTCATTTTATTTCAACTGAAAATTATTGGGGAAAATAAAGCATAGACAAAAAAGAGGAACAAAATAGTAACACAAGATATTAACGTGGAAACTCCAAAAATAGAGAAAAACTACGACGGTCACTAAACGACAACTAGAGAATAACACTATGGGGTGTTTGTTTCATGGATTCCAAATTTATTCCCAGGAATATGATTTGAATTTTTTGCATTATGATGTTCATTAATCAAAAGTAATTGTTAAGTATCAATAGGGACTGATGTGATATCATAATCGTTCTTCACTTAATAGATTTTAAGTGTTAGAATATTTTATATTTAAATATTATTTAATTATTATATTTCAATAATTATTATATGGACAAATATATTTATATGAGTTATATTAGCTATTTACCAAATTAAGAGTCTTAATTTATTAAGTGGTCAAATGAAGTTTAAAAGGCTAATTAGATTTCTATTTAACAATTAATTAATTAATTGGATATAAGCTTAATTATGAGTGAATGTCGGGATGACTCATTTCAGAATAATGAGAATCTTAATTGGCCATCACCTTATATATAAGCTATGGTCCTCAATATACCGTACACAATCAACTTACCTCTTTTGCCTATCTGAAGAGTGTTCAAGACATTAAGAGTACCAATTGAGGAAGATCCACGAGCCAACAAGTGTCGATCACATGTCTCCACACTCTTGCATTTCAAGATTATAGTTGTAATTGCCAAAAGACTTTTATCTCATGGATCAAGGTATTCTTGAAATCTCATGTCTCATATACTAACATATCGTAGATCCTGTAATTATATACATGTTCATATTTATTTATTCTATTTTGCACTAAAGTATATGGTATAATATGTAGAACATGTATATGTGATTAATTGTTATTGAATTTAATTCCAACATTAAGTTGGTAATTAGAAGTTTGTTTCAATTGTAACGATAACTAAATATAAGACAATATTTGATAAAAAGAGTTTCACGGGTAAGAGATCTTGCTGGGATTGGGATTCACCCACCGACTTTGCATGTAATTCATTGATCACTTTTGTATAAAACCAGAGTATTCGTTATTATCCTCATGTATCTCTCACAACATGATTTATGTGTAAATCCCTGTTGGGATTTATACTAGATTGTTTAATCAACGATTTCTCAATCTTTTAAACAATCAAGTAACATGAAGATTTGATACTTTATAATGAGTATTTAACCCTAGTTTTATATCTAGAAAATAGAGTTTAACATTTGTTATTTTAGATCGAGATTTGAAAGTATTTTTCAATAATAATTCTAATCAGTGCATTTAATCAATAAAACAAAGATAACAACAATAATCGTGAATAACTGAATTATATAATATGATAATCAATTAAACATACATATTGATCTATGGATTACATCTAATCCCAACAAGAGAAAGGAATCAGCTAGCCATCATTGTTGAAAGTAATTTCTTGTGTCGAAGCAGTTTGCTCGACAGAGACAAGGCAATGTCGAAAAGATTTAATTTGATTTATAAGTATGGA